TCATTCTTTGTTCCCACTCCTCTGGAAGTTCCTCACCCCTCACCCTCCCCCTTCCTTCCCCCTCCCCTTCTAAAACAAATGTTAACCAAATGTCATTGCAAAAAACTCGTTTTTCCTTTGTCATCGGCTGCGACTACGAGAAACGTTAGGAGACGAAACTGGAGTTATAGCCATATATATTTACATACACATCAATATATAAATATATACATATATACTGTATATATACTATGTTGCAGAGGGATTAAACTATATCAGATTTTCAAAAATCCAAATCAAGTTTGTTGATGTGTAGTAATATTTACTCTATGGGTATTAGCATCGAATAATTCATTTTTCAAAATAAAATCCCTGCGTCTCCTCCTCCTTCTACTCCTCCTCCTCCTCCTGTTTTACCAGCTTTTTCTTCTCCAGGCCCTGGGGAGTGAAGACGGATCGATACCTGACTGTAGCAGTTTGTAAAACTCAGTGAAAACTTTTCCTCCTGTATTTGTATTTATTCCCTGAACCTAAAATACTACAGTAATACTACAGAGTAATACAAATATACAAATTCATGGCCGAAATTGAAAAAATGATAATGAGCGCGGCCTACTCGTCTGCTGAAAAATCGTTAAATTAAATATATGTTCTCTCATTAAAAAACGCAAATGAATTTCTCGCGTGCGCTGCTTTAGTCCCTTGTCCAAGTAATGATTTGTGATAATGCGGATCAAGTTTAGTCACGACGACTTCAGGGGATCAGAATAGATCGAAGTCAAACGTGTGCCGACAGACTCTCAGAGTGAACATTTCACCCCCCTCCCGCCCCCTTCTGGAAATTTAAGCATTACACGTTTCCCAGATCTCTGTCCGTATTGACATTCAATACGTTCAGACAAGTCTGCGCGGGTCGCGTTTTTTTTTTTTTTTTGACTTGCGTCATTGTAACTTATTGTTTCGTCCGGGTTGTTCCGGTGATAAAAGTCTTTAGGCCGAAAACCGAAAAAAATGCGCTTTAGGGCCATTTTCGGCCGAAGATTTTCAGCGGCTGAAAATTCGGTGCATCCCTACTACAGTTGTCAGTTATCAGATATGTCGTCGGATTCAGTTTCTGTTCACCGCAGGTTTCAGTTCTTCAGTTGTTGTTGTTGATAAAGGATTTAGTCAAATGATGTTGTTTTGGCGCCGAATGGTGGGCGAGTGTGTGTAATAGGCAGCAGCAGGTCATTTGTTGGCCATTACTTCCCCCTACCTCCTCCACCCCCGTTGCTGATTAGTGTTGTCTCCTCAGAACCTCCTCTCAACACTCGGTGTCCGGCGTCCCCACAGCACCGCATCGTTGGCAGCGACCCAGAGTTGGAACTCATGTGCATGTGATTAGCATGGTGATCAAAGGGGTTAGCCGTAGCCGTGACGGTCACATGATGTTGCTGTCCATTTCCTCTGTCACTGGCTTTGGTCAAAAGGTCACGGCCTCCACACACACGCGACGGCCGACATTTTACCGAGCGGTTGTTACGCTGGACGACTGAGATGGCAGATGAACAAACAGCTGCAGTTTCCCGCTCTGGTCAGGGTCATGTGACTGCTGGTCACGTGATGACGCCCCGCGCGCAACTGTTTCCGGAACATTTGTGAAGTCAGCTGCTGTTTACCAGAAAAGTTTGTGGATCACAAACAGCTCCACACCGGACTGTCCCCCCCGACTCCCCCGTCAGGTGTTAGGATCCCTGATGTTCAGTACTGCTCTCTCTCTCTCTCTCTCTCTCTCTCCATTGATTCCAGCTCATCTTGCAGCAGCTCCTCCTCCCCCCTACCTCACCTTCCCCCTCCACACATTGCCATTCCATCGTCTCCCACCTTCCTCCCTTCCTCCTTCTCCTCCTCCTGATTGGTATCGATCAAGTCCTGGTTCCCCCTGGTGGAGGTCAGACTTATGGTTAATGACGAAACGCTGCTGATGGTTTTTGAAAGCCTGGATTTGTTCCTGCTCTCTACTGCCCCCCCACCCCCACCTCCCGCTCCCCCTCTGTTGTTTCCTGTAAATGTCTGAACATCTGTAGCTGCTGACATGATGGAGGAGGAAGTTGTTTTTTTTTGGGATGTGGTCGACGGGAACCGTCCTTCACTAAAACTCCACTCCTCCAGTTCGGTGCCCGGCTCGAGGGCGCCTCCTGTCCTCCGTCAGCATCACCGCGCGGCTGCCCGCACTGTACGACCTCATGAATATTCTCTTTAGCTAAAGAAGGTAAGGAGTAGCCACGGTGATCAAAGAGCATGCTAACCCTTAGCATGCGGTCGCCGTTGCTCCCGCCTGCGAAACGTGTCGTCAGTCTCCGCTCCTGTTTGGACAAACCACCGAGTCTCAGTGGTGAAACGGTCGGGGCTTCGGCGCTCGGCTCTGTGGCCTGTGGAGCGGTCATGGAACACCCCCGCCTCCCACCCCCGATCCCAGGGCAGTGGAGGGTAGTAATCTCTGGTGCATGTCCTTCACCTCTTACCAACTTTGGGTCGAAATCGTGGTAATGAGTTATTTGTTATTCCTCCGCGGTCCTGCACCACAGCAGCCACGGTCTGGTACCTGTCTGCGCCCCGGCGAGAGCAGGAGCTTCAATGGAGATGAAAGGAGAAGAGATGGAGATCTGAAAGCCTATCAGAGGAGCTGTACACTGCAGTGGGGCAACAGAGGGTGGGGGGTGGGGTAGGAAGATAGCAATGCTGCAATGACTCATGGGAGTTCTCCCCGTGATGTTTTCATCAGTTACCTTTCAGAGTTAGCCTTGTTCGAGGAAAGTGCTGTTTGTTTGTTTCTGCGATGGTTTTTGAGTTTGACCTTTGACCTGGATTACAGCAGTAGAACACACACACACACACACATCTGTATTCAGCAGGTTCTGGTTCCAGCAGGACGCCGCCTCATGGAGAACCACCAGGGGCTGTTGTTTGTGCTCGATGCAGGTCGGAGGTGAGGGTCAAAGGTCAAGCTAACAGGCTTTGACCAGCGGAGGCGTTCTCCAAATGTTCTCCGGTGTGTTCTACCTCATGGGGTCAAGTCTTTTTTTTTTGAAGAAGAAGAAGAATGTTCTTCTCTCTCCGAACGTTTTCATTTTTCATCACCGGTCTGTGTCAGGGAGAATCTGACGATACGATACCTGTCACGATACGATACCTGTCATCATACGATACCTGTCACCATACGATATCTGTCACGATACGATACCTGTCACGATACCTGTCACGATACCTATCACCATACGATACCTGTCACGATACCTATCACCATACAATACCTTTCATGATATGATACCTGTCACGATACCTGTCACGGTACAGGGGCGATATGTTGCATTACTAACATTGGAACAGAGCCCCCCACCCTTCTCCCCTTCCTCCTACCCTGCCTCCTCCCTCCCCTTCTTGCCCCCCCTCCTCCATGGACTCATCTTTCTTCCAGACACAGTTTATGTAAGAAACCAACACGACTCGATTTTCCACGTGTTACGAGGAAACATCCAGTTACCGGGGATCAACCCGGCTCCATTGTTCCGAGTGCTGTTGTGGAACCGATTATAAACTCTCGATTAAGTTTCTCGAAGCCGCACTGAACTGAAGAACTGACGGGACCTGAGGAGAGTCTGTGGCCCACTTCTTTGTGTCTTTATTTTAGCCGCACCCCACCGCGGCGGGGGGGGGGGGGGGGAAGTGAAGAGGGAGGGAGTGATGGAGGGAGGGAGGGGGGTTCAGTCTCTCAGGTCATTATCCTAAACTGAGCTCCAAATCACCAGAGGCTGAAAAAAAAACTGATTTGATCCGACCCGCAGTCTTACGTTACACTGCAGAACGTCGAGAGTCCGTGGTCGAAGACGGGGAGAGAACATAAATGATGTCAAGGGGGGGAGGGAAGGGGAGGGGAAGGGAGAGGGTGAGAGTCTGCGTCTCACCTTTCATGACAAAGTGAGGAACAGTAAGAAAAAGAGAACAGAGAGAAACAGGAACAACAGGAAAGTCACCTGACCAATCCTGTCCTCCTGGTCCTGGTCCTGGTCCTGGTCTCTGGTTCTGGTTCTGGTACTGGTCCTGGTCCTGGTCCTGGTCCTGGTCCTAGTCCTGGGCCTGGGCCTGGTCTCTGTTCCAGGTTCTGGTCCTGGTCTTGGACCTGGACCTGGACCTGGACCTGGACCTGGACCTGGTCCTGGTTCTGGTTCTGGTTCTGGCCCTGGTTTGTTTAAATTGTGAATTCTTGCAGCCGTCGCCCTCCCGCTTCCTCTGAGCCACCGTTTGATTCTCCTTTTTTATTTTGCTGACATGAAATCGAATTTCAAACGTTCACCGTCACTGATGGAATCAGAAATATTTTTTCCAAAGAAAATCTTCTCCACCGTCTCCACAAGGCGACCTCGGCTCCACTCGTCCTACATTACCTCCTGTAAAGTGGGTCTCCGGAACATTCCGAACATTTATTTTTAGGTTTGGGTAGCGACCATTTTTGGACGTCCTGATTAGTATTTTTACGCTGAATGTGGAGGGTGTGGAAAAAGTGAGACTTCTGAAAAACAATGACCCAAGACGCCGGCACTGACCGACAATAGACAATTACAGGATCCTGTATGTGCACGCACTGACCCCTAGGGGGCGAAGACTCTGTGGTTATGACCTCTTCTGTACAGAATGTTTGGTTTACATTTTTTTTATTTAGAAAAAAAAAACAATGCTGACACAACACAACCTGATCGCCACCTGGTGGCCCACCCCACCCATCGCATCGTAGACTTTAATGAAGCCGTTGATCGACAGCTGCAGTGACACCGTACGTTAGCGCTGACACGTCCGTTGTTTGACGATGTTTTTCTGTCCGTACTGAAGGTTGTTTGTTTTTGTCCCTCTGACAGGCCGACAGGACTCCTCCCACTGACAACTCACCCGTTCGTCCCTCACCCCTGCAGCAGCGCGGACCAATGAGGACGGACGTGGGACCCGCGGCGGGGACACTGGTCCTGTTCC